TTTTCTTCAGTTTCAGTTTTATATACTGAGTTAAATAAAATGTATTATCAAAATTAATTTCACTTGTTTTTTCTTTACCTAAAAAGTTTTGTATTAAAAATATGGCTGCCAGAAAGATTTAACTTACTTATATGGCTTGTATTCTAGTTCTACTGTATGGAAGAGCACTATACTATTTTACACAGAGAGCTCAGAAATTCTACTCAGATAAAAGAATACTCACTCCAAGGGTTTTAATGACCAGAAGACACTATAAACTAGAGAAAACTTCTACCATGAAAGATTTGTTGTTGTTGTTGTTATGTGCCGTGGAGTCCGTTCTGACTCATAGCGACCCCGTACAGGGTTTCCGAGGCTGTAAATCTTTACGGAAGCAGAAAGCTTCATCTTTCTCCCGCGGAAAGATTAACAGTCATTATTTACACATCAAGTCCTTTGTGAAACAGGAAAAAAGACCTTTTAAACTATCCAAATGCTATAAATTTCCACCCTAGCTAGCCATTTTTTCCCCCTCAAAGGTAAAGGAAAAGTTTAAAATTCTGCAAATTTTCTACTTAAAATTCTGACTCTCTCTTGCGAAGTTATCCCTAAAAATGTTCTCAATTCTTAGTCTCAGTTCTCCCAATAAGTATTGGGGGCACTGCAGGATAAGCATTATAATGCTAACCACAAGGTTGACTGCTCAAACCCAGCAGCTGCTCCTTATGAGACAGATGAGGCTGCCTGCTCCCATAAAGACTTAAAGTCTCAGAAGCCCTGGACAGACTCGCTATGAATCAGAACCGACTCCATGGCAGTAGGGCTTGGTGTGGTTCTCTAGGTATCCCTCTACCTATTCTCAAAGACTTCTGGAAAAAAGGAACAGGATTAAGTTGACCTGAAGACAGAAAAAGAATTCAGCAATAGTCCCAAATTTGCTAAGTATCCATAATACTTACTTCAGTTGTCGATTTAATTCTTCAACATAATTTTTTTGGTCTAATATGGCAGCAATTTGAACATTCCTAAAAGGAAAATAAAGCAGTATTGTACTAGCTAGGCAAAACGCAAAACATTTACATAAAAAAAAAAAAAGTCTGAGTTATCTAAAACTATTATGATAGAATTTGTCCTAAAAACGCAACAATTTTTATAACCATTTAGCAGTATACTATTTATTAAATGATATAAACTTTGCTGATTAATTAACTCGCTAGCAGTGGCCTTAACAACATCATTGTTGTTGTTAAGTACCGTGGAGTTGGTTCCGACTCACAGTGACTTTGCACAGGGTTTTTGAGGCTGTAAATCTTTACAGGAGCAGAATGCCTCATAGTTCTCCCAAAGAACTGCTGGTAGTTTCAAACTGCTGACCCTGAGGTTGGCAGCCTGACTCGTAACCACTATGCTACCAGAGCTCCTTTAACAATATCATTAGCATATTTTAAATTTAAAAGCAATTAGCTTGAAACAAACCAGTATCTGTAAGTTTGTGCTTTTGCTTCTTTTAATCACAAAACACAACTGACTGTTAAGAGAGATCTCAGGAACCACACAGAAAAGGTTAAAAGTCCTATTTAATTTCTACATAATCTTCCCAAATTTGCTTTGTAAAGCTTAAAAAATGGAAACGAAAATGAAACAAAACAGAAACAACACGAAATAAAGCAAACAAAAATCAGCTCCAGATAGGTGGCCCACATACTGATAAGTAACAAGCCACATAAAATAAACACAACGTGAGAAATAATTCAAGAAAATTATACCTTTCTTTATTTCCGATATCTTCTTCATTCTTTAAATATATGGAAAAATCAATCACTCCAACCTGAAGCAAGTAAAATTATTTTAATTTAAAGAGGAGAAAATAGCACTTTATCAGAAATACCTTTAACATGCACTCCACTTCATTTTGAAATTGTCTTCAGTGTTTAACAGCATTCTGTACAACTTAAGAGTGGTATTTGAGAGAAAGAGGAACAGCACAAGCTGAAAACATGGTGATTGGTTCTAACCACAATCACTTACTTGTGAGTCTAAATCCTCTCCCTTCACACACAGGTTAGCATCTATCACATTCAGGCCAACAAGCAGTCCCACAATTACTGCTCCTTCTTCTTCCATCATTAGTGCATGATACTCATAGAATTCACTGTGAAAATTAAAACAAAAACAACTTTAAATCACACATTAGTGCAAAAAATTTCACTTACAAAAAAATGCTTGCTTTCATTTGCCCTACAAAGATGCAAATCAAACAGTAATGACGTATCATCTCATCCGAGCATTAAAAGCAAAGTTCAAAACAACAGAAAACAACAAACGCTCACGAGGACGTGGAGATAGTGGGACCCTCCTACTATGTTGGTGGGACTATAAAATGGTTCAACTACTGTGGAAAACAATATGATGATCAGAAAGCTAGAAATAGCAATACTGTATGATCCAGCAAGCCTTCTACTTGGCATATATCAACAAGAATAAAAGCCAGGACACATGTAGATATACACAAACTGAGGTTCATCGCATCCCTGTTCACAATAGTAAAAAGATGGAGATAGCCTAAATGCCCATCAATGTAAAAAAAACCTTTGGTCCGCACACACACAAGGGAATACTATGCAACACTGAAGAATAGCAATAAAGCTGCAAAACATCTCATACCATGGATGAACCTGGAGGACATTATGTTGACTGGAATTAGTCAATCACAAAAGGGCAAATATTGCATGAGACTACTATTGTAAAAAGTTTTCATGCTAAATGAAACATTCTTTGACAGTTGTCAGAGGTAGGAGGAAAGGGAGAACAATTTACTGGCTAGAGAGTAGACACTTGCTAACCCAGATGACTGGGAAGGCAATCTACATGAGGAAGGTTGGCAGAAGAATGAAGAGAACAGGAGAAGACAAGGAGGAGTGCAAGAGCTAAATGGAATGCAAGCAAACACTGTTATATACACAATTCTTCAACAATCATGACCTACGGGAGACACATGGATAGACACACAGGTTGACCAGTTGTGGGAGGGAGAGTGGGATTATGCCCATGAATATACAGAGGAGATCTCTCCATGGGTATTAACCTTTGCTGAAAAATAACCTATGAATTTGATAGAGCATTTGTTGTTAAGTGCTGTTGAATCGAGTCAGTTCCTTTCCGAGGAGCAGCTGGTGAGCTTGCAGTTCAAATTGGCTTTGCAGTCTGCGCATTAACCCACAGCACCACACTTCTCAGACATTACCAAATACTTGAGGGTATGAATTTCTTCTGGGCCTGGGGACTACGAATCAATCTTGGGGGACACCATGGCCATTTGGCATAACATGGTCCACAAAGACAATGTTCTACATTCTACTTGTGTGAGTGGTGGTGGTTATGTGCTGTGGAATACGTTCCGACTCATATTAACCCTGTATAGGGTTTCCGAGGCTGTAAATCTTTAAGGGAGAAAAGAAAGCCTTATCTCTCGCCCGTGGAACAGCTGGTAGTTTCGAACTGCTGACCTTGTGGTTCACAGCCCGATTCGTAACTATTACACTACCAGAGCTCCTTACTTTGTGAGTAGAGAATAGGATTTTAAAAGCTCATGAGTGGCCATCTAAGGTGCAACTATTGATTTCTCTCTGTGCAGAGGAAAGACGAGTGATGAAAACTGAAGATGCTTGGAATCGACTGGGCCAGTGCACCCATGGAACGTATGAACATCAGTCTCCACAACTCAGAGAAGAGAGTAACTAACTAGATGGTACCTGGCTACTACTACCGATTGTCCTGAAAGGGAAGACACTAGAAGGTACTAGATAGAGTGGGACAAAATGTAGACCAAGACTCAAATTATATAAAAGACCAGACTAGCTGGTCAGAAAGAGACTGGATAAACCTAAGACTACAGGTCTCAGTCACCATTCAAGTCTAAAACTGAGCTCATCCTGTAGCTCAATTTTCAACCAAGTTGTGGATAGGTATGTGGTGGAGGTGGTAGGGATGTGCCAGGGAGTAGGCTCCCACTCACAGCGACCCTGTGTACAGTTACCAAGGCTACACATCTTTATGGAAGCAAAAAGCCTCAAAAGGTACACTGGGGGAACAGTAATACTAAAAAGGTATGCTCAACATGGAATGGTCAGCCATTCAAGAACGAAAGGCCAGTATTTACCTAAAGTCAAAGTTCAGAAGAGTTGGGTAAGAAGGTGGAATGGAAACAAGAACCATAGGGAGAAGTGAGATAACTGATGTTACATGGAGGGGATTGTAATCATTGAAACGACAAAAGTATATGATTTACTGAATGCAAAACTTATGATCTGCTCTGTAAACTTTCACTCACAAACTTTTAAAAGCCTCACCCATGGAAAAGTGAAAGAATACTTATACTCCAATCAAGTATAATTTTCACATAAGAAAAATTTTAAGGGAGAAGAACGGAGTATGGGACCCTACCCAGAGAAGCAGTGAAGCCAGAGATGGAGGCAGAGATGATGATGTGGAGAGATGGAGCAGCTGGGGACTTTAGACACAGAGAGGGAGAGGGGCTGTGTGCTGACAATTAGGAGAAAGGCTTGCAGGGTATACCCTTTGGTTGGCTGATGATGCATGGAGGGGATTGTAGCCATGGAAACGATTTGATAGGATGAATGTAAAGCTAATGTTCTCCCATGTAAATTATCACATAATTCACAATAAATCTTTTTTTTTTTTTAATTTTAAATTTAAATTTCTGTAACTTATTGCAGATACCAACTTTTTGTTACTGTTAAGTGTCGTTGAATTTGTTCCAACTCACTGTGACCCTGTATAGGAGTCCCAAGGAGTAGCTGGTAGGTTTGAACCACTGACCTTGGGGTTAAGCAGTCCAGTGCTATCCTACAGCTCTACACCAGGTCCCCAAACACCAACTTATTGTTGTTCTTAAGTTGTTGTCCAGTCGGTTTTGATTCACAGCAACCCTGAATAGGGTTTCTAAAGATCGTCTAGTGGGTTTGAACTGCCAACACTGTGGTTAGCAGTCCAGGGTTTTTAATCCTAGAGTCATACCAGGACCCAGATACCAACTTTGTTGCTGTTGTTATTATGTGCACCCTAGAGTTGGTTCCTACTCTTAGCAACCCTGTATAGGGTTTCCAAGGTGCGGAGCGGCTGGTGGTTTGAATTACCAACCTTGCCGTTCAAACTGACCTTGAGGTCCAGCTCATTATCCTGAAGAGCTGCACACCCTTTAAATTAACCTTTCTACATGTAAATAACTATTTAAATTTTTGAATTTTAGACTCTTGTTTTATAGTTCTAAAAAGAAAGAAACTGAGGAGACTTTGAGAAAAAGCAATTTGAGAGAGAGAAAAAGGAAGCAAAGTGAGACCATAAGGAAAAAGGCAGTACTGAGAATTAGAAGGTTTTTGGCTCTCAGAACAACATAGTGACTGGTACCGATGTAATTGTAATTTTTATTAAAGTTGAAGATTCAATCATAGATAAGACTCTTGGGATAAAGACTAGGGTGGGAAAATAAACAAATGAAACATTTCAAAGCCCATGATCAAGCATTTGATATGTGTATTGCAAATATCCTTAATAGCTAACCATAAATGAGTGATATTGGAGTCCTGGTGTGGTGCTGTAGAATAAGCACTGGAATGCTAACAGCAAAGTCAGCAGTTTGAACCCACCAGCCACTCCTTGGAAACCCTAACAAGGTCACTATGAGTCAGAACCAATTTGACTACACTAACAACAATATATTTACATTTAAAAAAATGTTCAAACAAGAAACTGTGACATAGGACAGTCTAAAAGACTTCTCTAACTTATATTCAGAGAAACTGTCTTCTTCAAGATGTCCCATGTATAATATTTAATCACTTTAATTAATCTTCAGAATGTATGATTATTCTCCTTTAACATGTGAAAATATTAAGATGAAAATCCAGTGTCACAAATTCAGCCCAAACCAGGACCGTATTCTCCAGAACACACAATAATGGATGGAGGGCAGTGTGGGCCCATTCCCTTGAGGACTGCCTATGTTGCCTTGAAATTCTGTCTCAAACTTTTGGCTTAAACTCATGGATTAAAATAGGATGGTAGCCTAGACTTTCAAAATCTGGAGTTAAATCCCCTAAATTATAATACAAATTTAAAATCATAGAATTATACTGCAATTTTAAAAAATGAAACAAACTTAAAAATAGAAATACATGTATTTTTTCCTTACTGGCTGTTAAGAAACACAGGATACTAATTTTTTAGGGAAGTTCTTGATCCATGTTATATCCCACCATGTTTTTTGTTTTACTTTCTTGGATCTTAGTGTATTTTACATATTCTTTTTTACATACACCAAGGAGTCCTGGTGACATGGTGGGTTAAGCTCTGGGCTTGCTGTTGCTGTTAAGCGATGTTGAGGCGATTCTGACTCATAGTGACCCTGTACTGGACTACTAACCCTGAGTCAACAGTTCAAAACCATCAGCTGCTCTAAGGGAGAAAGATGAAACTTTCTGCACCCGAAAAGATTCTGTCTCAGAAACCCTACAGGGGGTTGGGGGTGGGGAGCAGTTCTACGCTGTCCTACAAAGTCACTAAGAGTAGGCATTAACTTGATGGCAGCAGGTCTGGGTTTTGGTGCTTGGTGCTGCATCTTCAATCCTATGTGGAGAACAGAATATACATGAACTAAAACTAAAACTGAACCCAGTTTAATGGAACTCACCTTAAGAGGTCTCTCTGAATGATTAAGCAGCGAAGGTAATCAGCCATTTTTTTTTGCATCAGGGCCAATCGAAGCCATGCCCTTGCACGGCCCAGGGGAGTCCTAAAAAGGACAATCAATGGATTAGAAAATAATTCCAACCCCAAAGATGACAGACTCATGTCCTAACTCTGTTGAGTTACAAAAGAATAAAGAGTAAGGTACTTTATCATAGTTTTGCTTTTATTTGTATGGTTTCAAATCAGTTCCTTTAGCATGTAAACACGATCCTTAGGAGCTACTTAACTACTGAATGCTAATCTGCACCTATAGGATGCTTTGGAGTCCTGGTGGTACACTGGGTGAAGTGGGGCTGCTAACCAGAAGGTTGGTGGTTCAAGCCTAGACAGTTGCTCCAAGGAGAAAGACAAAGCTCTCTACTCCTGTAAGATTTACAGCCTCAGAAACCCTACGGAGTAGTTCGACTCTATCCTCCTGGGCCGCTGTAAGCTGGGATCCACTTGATGGCAATGGTGGGTGGAGGAAACTCAGGTACGCTTCTATGTCCTGACAACAGGACTCTAAATAGTGAGAATATTCTTACAAGAAACATTTTATCTGAATGGGTTCAGCCCTGTAAAATGCATATGCAAATGTATCAATGTAGTTGTTGTATGCCATGGAGTCGGTTCCGACTCATAGTGACCCTGTACGGGGTTTCCGAGGCTGTAAATCTTTCCAGGAGCAGAAAGCCTCATCTCTCTCCCACGGAACAGATGGTAGTTTCAAACTGCTGACCCTGAGGTAAACAGCCCGATACGTAATTACTACGCTACCAGAGCTCCTTAATGTATCAATGGGATAATATAATGTCTTCAAAGAAAAAGTGATATATCTAAATTTAAAATTTTTTAACAAAACAAAGCTATCAGGTCCTGGGGTGGAGCTGTAGGACAAGCACTGGACTGCTAACTGCAAGGTCAGCAGTTCATACCACCAGCCACTTAAACAGGGTCACTGAGTCAGAACTCAACACCAAGTTATCAGATGCTAATTACTTAAAGAAAAACAACACCATGCTACTATTTTTCAAATGTTTCTTTTGTCCATCTACACTTAAATTGCATGCCTCTCTTAGCTAAGTTCTATCATTTAGTGAAAATAAACACTCATTTTATAACGCATGTATCATTTTTTATAAGAGAAAGGTATTCACATTTTATTTGTTGGGGGGCTGTTGTTTTTACTTCATTTTTCTCAATGAAGAGAGCACAGTGACAGGTAGTATGGGAAGAAACTACTCTTCACTTTTAACAGCTAAATTCTTATGCCTTAAAGGAGTCCAGGAGTGGTGGTGTGGGTTAATGCACTGGACTGCAAGGTCAGTGGTTCAAAGTCACAGCCATTCCTCGTAAACCCTATTATGAGTGAGAACTTACTCAATAGTACTTAACAACAAGAAAAAGAGTTTAATGGACATGTTCTCCAGACAATACTTTTTATATTTGTAATGTTTACCTTTTTTTCCTTTGATATCAACATGCATTACTTTTGTATCAAAATCTTAGTGTCTTTGAGAGTAAATTCCCCTTTTCCTTTGTTAGAAATTGCTGTTGTGTGCCATCAGGTCAACCCTAACTCATAGCAAGTCTGATGAGAGCAGAATTGCCCCATAGGGTTTCCTAGGGTGTAACATCAAGCGTAAACACCACTTCCTATGAAATTAAACCAGTAACTTCTCTGCCATCTACATAATCATTAAACTAACAGTCTCTTTCCTATACGATTCACTAAGAAGCTCTAGTGGCATAGTGTTAGGTTGCTAACTGCAAGGTCAGCAGTTTGAATCGACCAGTGGCTCTGTGGGAGAAAAATGAGGCTATCTGCTCCCATAAAGATTTACAGCCTCAGCGAAACCCTGTACAGGGTCGCAATGAGTCAGACTTGATGGCACACAACCACAACCACCACCTTAGGACTGATGTAAGCATTAAACGAGACAATAACAGCTACCGTTAATTGAGACAGTGCTCAATTAACAATAGCTATTTATTTTAATCAGTTCAATTAAGTTCAAATCATAAACATTTAAATTTACTATATCCCCTGTAACATATACAACTTTAAGTTGTAAATTTTGTTTTAATAGAAAACAAACTGATAATCTCACAGAAAATGCTAAGCATAAAAAAAGTTATTCCCAGTCACAAAAATTGTAATAAAGTAAAAGGAAGACTAATACCTTAATCATACCTAGAAGAAGAACAACACTGTATACTTACAAAATTTTTTCAACACTAGCCAGAACACTCAAGCTCTTAGCATTCAGAACACATACCTCAGTCTGGTGAAAACAGGCATGAGCAATTTTAAGACCCAGTTTCCCAAAGAAGAAAAGTAATTTGCACAAGTCCTGAGAACTCAAATCTCCTGAGCCTTAAACCTCAAACTTGGCCTAATTCAGTCTTCAACAAATAGTTATAAATGGCAAGCTTAACTAGCTAGTGCTAACTAGCTTAACATTCAAGAAACAGAGATGCGTAATTCATACATCCAATCTTGCAAACTTCTGAAATACAAGGCAGCATCAGGAAGCAAGTAACACAAGGGAGAAATACAATGAGACAAGTATGAAGCAAAGAGTAGTTAATTATTATTGAAGGGGCCCAGGAAAAGCTTCATAAAGCAAACGGAATTTGAATGAATAGAATTTTATTTGACGAGAGAATGGAAGAAGGGTATAGGGTACTTATGGCTGAAGAATATTATAAACTCGGGCACTATGTACTTTAGATACATAGCAAATCCATTCTTTGGTTAGGAATGAACACGTAATAAGATGCAACCGTAAGCGCATTCTATGGTTAGGGATGAAAAAGTGACAACATTACTTACTTAAGACCAGGTAAATCCCGGACACTGGCTCCTATTTCCTCTGCTTCTGGGTATAGCTTCTCCACTAATTCCAAAGGGCCCCAGATGGTTTTGTTATAACTCAAAAATGATTTCCTTACTGAAAAATAAGATAGATCACACACTATTACAATATGTAAACTTACTGTAATTTCATTTTACATACCTAACATTCCTAATTCAGAGACCCTACTATCTTTAATCATTCACTCACTCCGTAGCTACTGAACAGGTGTCTGTTCATCAAGACCCTGTTGTCCATCCTGTGTTTTTTAATCTGAAATATGCATCTTGGGTAATTTTCTAGAACCAAGAATTCATGAAAAGCAGCTAATTAAAATAAAAACCTACCAGGCTCATTCTTTACCAGTACCTAAATAAAAAGGCTGGTGGCCGTAACTATTTGATCATTGTAAAGTTTACTAAATAAACCAAGGGCAAATAAAAAATTATCTTATTTTTACAGATGAAAAACTGTGGCTTTAATTTTCCTTCTATTTTATTTGAAGATTCGTGTAGTTTATATACAGATCAACTGGCAGTCTCTATGTTTATATACCTGAACTCTCCATATATTTCTTTCTTAATATGAATCAGCTCTCCTACAGACACAGTGGAGCTCTGGTAGCGTAGTGGCTACGAATCGGGCTGCGAACCTTAAGGTCAGCGGTTCGAAACTACCAGCCGCTCCGCGGGAGAAAGATGAGGCTTTCTACTCCCGTAAAGATTTACACCCTCGGAAACCCTGTACAGGGTCGCTATGGGTCGGAACCGACTCGACGGCACTTAACAACAACAACAACAGACACAGTGTGCCATCATACGGGCAACCACCAAGACAGGCAACTTTTCTCTGGGGGAGAAAATCCATCAGCACAAAGTAACTTTATAATGATTCATCAGAATAGGGGTTACAAATTCAGGCTGCTAAGCTCAACGTCAGCAGTTGGAAATTACCAGCTATTCCGCAGGAGAAAGATGATCCTTTCTGCTCCTGTAAAGATTTACAGCCTCAGAAACCCTATGCAGGGTCGCCATGAGTCAGAACCAACTCCATGGCACATCACCACCACCACTAGGATATTCTTTGATATATTTTGTGAAGCGATATATTTTCATAAAAGAGTTTAAAACTGAACTATTATGGTCATCATCTGGTAAACTCCATTTCAGTGGGCTAGGGGGAAATAATGTTCTATATTACTACTATTTTTTTAAAATAATATTTTAAAAGCTTCTCCCACAAAACAAAAACAATCTGGGCCTAAACTTAGATTGGTGACTTCCTACTGTATTTAAGAGTGCTTCAAAACTGACGACAGCAACAAGACTGGGTGAAGACGCAAAAGAGGAAATGATCTCATCTACTGTTGGTTGTATGTTGTTGTTTGTTGTTTAGTGCCGTCGAGTCGGTTCCGACCCATAGCGACCCTGTACAGGGTTTCCGAGGCTGTAAATCTTTACGGGAGCAGAACGCCTCATCTTTCTCCCGCGGAGCGGCTGGTAGTTTCGAACTGTTGGCCTTAAGGTTCGCAGCCCGATTCGTAACCACTACGCTACCAGAGTTGTATAGTGGTTATGAATCGGGCTGCGAACCTTAACGTCAGCAGTTCGAAACTACCAGCTATTCTGCAGGAAAAAGATGAGGCATTCTGCTCCTGTAAAGATTTACAGCCTTGGAAACCCTGTACAAGACCGCTATGAGTCGGAACCGACTCCACGGCACATGACAACAACTACTGCTGGTTGATGACGTCCTGCTGTAGCACTGTAGAATAAGCCCTGGACTACTAACTGCAATGTTGGTGGTTCAAACCCACCAGGCATTCCTTGAAAACCCTATACAGGGTTGCTATGAGTTGGAACTAACTGGAAAGCACTTAACAACAGCTGCTGGTTGAAACGTAAATCATAAACACTCCAGAGATGCCACAATGGTCTGTATCTTTTGATCTAGTCATTCTCTCCAAGGAATCAGAAAAGAAACCTTGCAAGTGTGCACAAAGATATATATCCAAAGATGTTCTCACAGGATAGTTTATAATAGTAAAAACTTGGAAACAAACTAAGTGTGCGTTAAGAGACTGTTAAATTATGATAGATACATATTATGAAATACTACATGCTCGTAAAAATGTTGGAGCACAACCTCTATGTAAATGGAAATTCACCAAGCCATCCCATTAATTTTTTTTTTAAATAGGAAATCACAGACTAATACTGACAGATGGTTCTATTTAAAGAAAAAACGGGGCTAGAGGACTACCACTGATTCCCTTTTAGGGAGATGAATGGAAGGGAATGAAGGGACACTCTGTATGCTGTGCTGTATCTGTGTCAAGATTTTCTGAATCAGATACAAAAAGTATATTTCATTGTTGTTGTGTGCCGTGGAGTCGGTTCCAACTCATAGCGAACCTGTACAGGGTTTTCAAGGCTGTAAATCTTCACGGGAGCAGAAAGCCTCAACTTTCTCCTGAGGAACAACTGGTAGTTTCGATATTTCATTAGTATTGGTATAATTTTAAAAACCATCTTAAGTCTTCAACAGAGAAATGAGTACACTAATAACATCAAATAGGATTTCTCAAATTTTGATGCCAAGGTTTCCTTCTCAGTTTGAAGCACACTGTCTTAAAGCCATGTTTAAGTAAACATGCTTCATACGCCATACTCAGAACTTCCCAACATACCCAGGTTCCTAATGTACTACCAGCAGCCATGTTTCTTTTGCTTTCTAATAGTCTCCTTAGTATGTGAGGCTCAGATGGCCCTCTACACAGGTGTGATTATCTGAACGAAAAACCCAATCTGCCAACAATTAGTTTAAGTTAAAAAGTATGTAATGTTTAAGTGATTAAATATAAAAAACACTGCATAACACAAACTCATTATGAACTATATTATAGAATATAATTAATTATCTGCTAGTATCATCACTTACAGGGATTACTCACTTTCCACAACCCAAACCCAGAAGACACATCTACATATGTTCCCATGCACTAGGGAGGCTTCTGTTTCAACAATCAACTATTTTAATGTATTTGTTCAATAGAGCTATTAAAAAAAAAAGAAAACTCATAAAAATGACCAGGTTTAAATTTTTAAAAAACAAAACAAAAAACACTCTTGGAATTATCCTAGAAAAATGGAAACCAGTTCAGTTAGCATGTTGCAAATCTTTAAACACCAAACACTTTTTACAAAACACTAATAACTAACCATTTTTTGAAGACCATCACTAGAAAAGACAAATGCAGTTAAGAATATTTTCTCTCACAGTCAGTTCACTCAGTATGTAAATGCAAAATATAACAGGAATTACGGCCTCAAAAACACATTTTCAAGGATGTTTAAGATGGCAAGGGAGGGGGGTTCCTAAAGTTAATAAAGTTTTTTAAAAATCTTGTGATACCTTTAAGACCGTGTTTCAGACAATGTTCCATAACAACAAAGAACTGCTGCAAAGGGGGATAATCGGAATCCAGAGTACGGCCAAAGCTGAGAGCAGATTCAATGAGTCCTTTGATACTTAGCTTAGCCATGTTTAGTAAGTTTGCTCTCTCTACTGCTGTGGGGTCTTTTGTAGCTGAAAGCACAAGAAAGGAGCGTAACATCATTGGCAAGACACAACATTGGAAACAACATCAATGCTTTCCTTCCCCTATAAAACCAACACTGGTTTGCTTTTCATTGATTTACAAATATTAAATGTCTCCCCAACTAACCTGCTCACCTAGTTAACTTTTCACACAAACCATAAAAAACTCTCATCTGTTCCAGCCAAAGTTTGTCCATTCTATTATATTCGTTTTATTTTTGTGGTACCTCTTCAGGGAGAATACAATTTTTAAAATGACTTTCTATAGAAGTAAATGCATGGTCTCTGAAAACTATTAAAGGGTCTCATATATATGGTGGATAGCAGGCTCAGTCTAAGGATGATTTCCATGGCAAAGATGCTCAGAATAAACTGGCAGGAGGATAAAAGGTAGTCAAAATTCTAAGAATCAAGCAGCATCCATAACAAACATGACAGGTAAATTAATACACACTGACAATAAAGGGATGTAAAAAAGTAAAACACATTGACAAACGAAGAGAAGGCATTCCTTTCTTTCAATCTTAGAAACTCTCTTTCTATCCTGTTCATTCTCACTAATATGTACAACGCACACAGCAGTTCTGTGCTGTATGACTCCTTGATTTTCTAAGCAGAAACAAAAGCGGGGGGGCAATTTCACACAGCTGATGATGCTCACTCCCACACAGCTGATGATGCTCACTCTTTCAGTCTAAACACCAAGCGAACAGCATGCCTTAAAAACAAATACAAAGCATAATAACTTTGTTTTTAATTGATATTTTCAGTTCACAAAAACATTTTTTTTTTCATTTCCATAAACTTTACTTAGGAATTCAGACGCTTCCCATACTCTCGTCACCGACAGGAATATTTTTAGCAAACGCATATGACAAAACTGAGTTGCAGAAAAATAGAAAAATGAAGCAGACATCAATTTGACAGACATTAATAGAATGTTATACTTATTTAAAAGTCCAAGTAAACAATGCATCTAGTTTTCCTTTACTGAACAAAAGTCCAGGGTTCCCAATGATTTAGTATTCTAGTTTTGACCTCAGATAGCAGGCGTGAAGCCTTACATGGAACCCTAAGCAACTTCAAAGGCGAACAGCCACAACTGCTAGAATCAAAGCTGTGTGATGCAGTGTCTCCACACGACATCTTATCTTTTTCCAAATCTGCATTGTCGCATTTATTTCGGGAGTGAAGCCGCTTGGTGTTTCATAATCTGTGAAATTCTCATTTTTCCTAACAATGCTCATCACAAACCCCAACATTCTATGCGACAACCAGACAATGGGAGGCTTTGCAGCTGGCTCCTCTGCAAATCTGTGCCAGTTGCTAGCAGTTTCCACGCTTAGAAGCGTTTACATCGCGACCGCACCCGGGAGGTCGGGCTCAGGGGACAACAGGCCGCAGGTAGGCGGGATGACCTGGCAACGGGAAACTCTCACATCATGCTCATGCCGGGTCCCCCTTCCCTGCTTCCTTCTCTCCTTCCCAACAAGGACGCCCAAGGGTCTCTCTCTCTCTCTTTGGCCATGCCCGGAACGTCGCGGAAAGCTCACCCCGTGTTGTTCGCGACACTGATCCCCAGGTCCCACCACCCAAGAAAAGCCTGAGATACATCTTCACTCCGCCACCCCCAACCCTGAAAAGTCATCATTCAAGCCCGACTCTTGCGCCGGCCGACCCTGTCCTCGTTGTCTGGAAACCGCCGACCACAAGCCCTGGCCCACTAGGTCCCCGAAGAGGTGCGAAGGTTGGGAGCCCCGGGCCGCCGCGCGTTGCCATGGCGACACCGTGCGACCCCCGAAGCTGGGCCGCCCCCGCCCGGCACCGAAGCCGGATTAGGGCCCGTTTCGTCCCGGCGCACCCAGTGCCCCCAGGTTCTCCTCGCCTAGCCGCGGCCTTCAGCTTAGGGCAGCGGGCCCAGCGCCTGCTCCCAGGCCGCTCCCCTTACCCATGACGGAGACAGCGCGTTCTTGAGCGAGGAATCCCCCAGGCCGGGTCGGCAGCCTGCTGCTCCCAGGCCCCCGGCGGCCGCCACGGCGCTGCAGCTAAGCCCGCCGCAGCCCACAGCGCCCCCGGCGGCGGGAGGACGCCCCGGCCGCTCCACCAGGCGGGGCGCACAGCGCTGGGTGCTGCATCTCTGGGCAGACCGCCGGGGAGAAGTCGGCCCTCTTCAAGTCTCTGCACCACCACTGCGTGCAAGAGGCCTCAGGTGTGAGGAACCACGGGTCTCCGAGGGCCTATTATCCAAGAAAGGTGCCCTGTGTTGAATTACCAATCTATAGTGAGTCATTTCACATGGTGTGAAATTGGTATGAGGTGATTGGTAACTGACACCTCCCTGCAGGAAGGTGCTGTGGCTTGGGAGACTGATGCCAGACACATTTAGAAGAATCTTGGATACAGTGAAAAACATGTGAAATTCTTCCCTACAGATTAGTAAATAAACATAAATAAAGCCATGCTTTGCTTGCTTACCGAGTAATCCCATAATGCCAGTCTCCTGTCGTGGGGGCAAAGGCTGATTTTCCAAGAGGATCCTTATTGTCGAGACTCATAGCTTCCTTTTATAGTATTCCCAAGGAGCGGCTGGTGGTTTGAACCAACTTCGCCATTGTTGTTGGCGGTGTGCCGTGGAGTCAGTTCCGACTCATAGCGACCCTGTACAGGGTTGAGGCTGTAAATGTTTACCGGAATGAAAGCCTCACCTTTCTCCCGCCAAACAGCTGGTAGTTTTGAACTGCTGACCTTGAGATTAGCAGCCCAATTCGTAACCACTATGCTACCAGGGCACCTTGTTGTTGTTAAGTGCCTTCGAGTCCCGAGTCGGTTCTGAACCATAGCGACCCTGTACAGGGTTTCCGAGGCTGTAAATCTTTACGGGAGCAGAAAGCCTCATCTTTCTCCCGCGGAACAGCTGGTAGTTTCGAACTGCTGGCCTTAAGGTTCGCAGCCAGATTCGTAACCACTACGCTACCAGAGCTCCTTACCAGTCATAATTTTCCTGCAGCGCCACACCAGGACTCTAAGGTGGCGGTGGTGGTAGTGGTGTGCCGTGGAGTTGGTTCCGACTCATCGACCCTGTAAACCCGAGTCTGTAAATCTTTACAGGATCAGGAAGCATCTTCCTACCACAGAACGGCTGGCAGTTTCAAACTGCTGACCTTCAGGTTAGCAGCCTGAGACGTAACCACTACGCTATCAGAGCTCCTTAGGACTCCAAGGAGTTATGTACAAACGTTTCCACCCACAAGGCTGGCTGGTTTTAATCTATTTTTTCTTCACGAGCTCGTAGGGAATCAAAAGAAACCCTATACAGGGTCGGTATGAATTGGAACCGACTCGACGGCACTTTAAAGCCACCACCACCAAAACCATTTGGAGTCCTGGTATGGCGCTGTAGGATAAGCCCTAGACTGCTAACCTGTAAGATCGGCGATTCAAACCTACCAAAGGCAATTAACCAAAACCAGTGAGCCTCAAATCACTAAACTTAGACCAGTAAATTTTTGTTGCTCCCTGCCTTCCAGTTGCCCAACTCATGGCCTCCCCCATCCACCACGGAAGGTGAACCGTCCAGTGTTGCGCCACCTCCACAAACGGTTGCAGATTGGGCCATTGTGATCCATAGGAAACCAATGAATACACTGTTTATAAAAAATCAATAATCAACTCCTTACGGATCAAGGGGAACAGGTGTAAAGATAAAACTAGCTTTTTCTCATTCTGAGGGGAAAAAAAGTCATGGTCTTGGGCAGAGGGCTTAAATTACATCAGCTGGGGAAAAAAATAAACTCTTACCTAGTTAAATCCAACCCTTAAAGTGTGAACCAGGATGGACCCAGGGCATGACGTCAGTTCTGATTCCAGCTCTCCCATGGATATTACTTTGACATACAATGTTTTTCACATTGATTTCTTTTTTCTTTTACTACCTTCAGTTTTGTGATGAGCACTGAAAATTATTAAACTTTTCAAGAGTTCATTGTACTCTAAACTCATCACCCGCACTCTACAATTGTTACAAGATTGTGACATAATTACTTTCAACTGGGAAGAGTTACATAAATGGTGATTAAAGAAACACACATCTAGATGGCACAATTTGGTTACAAACAGTAAAAGGAAAAGCAAAAAAAAAAAAAATTTCCCTTCTTAATATGGTTACAATAAATGCAAGAGGATTCAAAGAGTTTCTGGGTATATAGACTTGAAAGATAATGGAATTTTTCCACGAAACGCTATGCAAAGAAACACAGTATTCAAGACTAATCCATATTGTAAACCACAGATCGCAGCTTATTATGGGGCATGAAAGCAATTTAATAGGTTGCCAGCAGCTGTTTTTAGGAATAGAATGAAAAATACTAAGATGAATCACACAGAGAAAAGAGTCAGCACTGTTTTATGAAAGTATTGTTTCAAATCTACACATATCTACACGAAGTCATGGTATAAACTCTATTTCCCAATGTGAATTATGGTCATTTGGGCTTTTAAGCACCAGTCTAAATCACCATACTTCAAACCAGAGGTAAGGGCCATGGAATCAGTGACCCTGTATAGGTGCGAGTGGCTGGTGAGTTAGAACTACTGACCTGAAGGTAAGCAGTCCAGTGCTTACCCTACAGGGCTACACCAGGACTCCAAACTATAATTGTTATTACTACAAGATGAGAATACAATTCACTTCCAAAACAGAGTGCTCTATCAAAGACTGAACTTTAGAGTGAGGGGTCTAAGGGGAAAGGAAGGAAGAAGAGACAGCAACTAAAAGGAGAGGCCAAGAGGCAGAAAGTCTAAACTAAGTCAGGAATGGAGTCAGAGCAATGGCTTCATCATCTTCAGATCATACTATAAGGAAGGCCTTGTCTGAGCTCATGATGATCTATAACCACTGCTGTGTTAGTCCTTGGGATGGAGTAGCATTGAACTGTCAGCTTCTTAAGGGCCTGTTCTGGGTTTAACTTACCCAAGTCTCCAACTCTTAGTGCTGTCTGTATGCTAGAAAACATATCCTAACACCTTCAAATCATTAAACAGCCAGATCATTATAACAGACACTAATCCAAAAATGACAGAAAGCATGGCTCTCCTCCCCAGGCTCTTACAGGACAACGTCTCAGACAAGACTTGGAATGAAGCAGCCATTGACACACCAGAAGACCTATTCGCTTCACTCCCGGGAACTGAAATGGCCTTAGATTCCTTTCCATTTTATACCCTGATGATACCTAATTTATATATTTAAGTCCTATCACTATAATCTTTCTAGATTTTTTTTTATCTAGTCATTCTAAATACCATTTCTCCATGATCAAGTCCAAACTGTATGTCCTTCATGAATCTCTTTTAACATGTCAACACTTCTTGGTTTCAGCTTTAGAAAGCAAGATCAATATTACTGAAGTAATGCTGGATGGTCTTTGCCTTTATTTTTCAGTATTAACAATTCACACAGTATGATCTAACACAGTTTATTTAACAAAAGGCTCAAGTAATAATGGAAGTCATAATAATTTAAAAGCCACTTGAGGTAGAAACAACAGTTTAAAAATATTTAACATCCATTGAAAAACAAGTCTTTGAGAGAAATGGAAGATTCCCCCCAAAAGATGTAAACACTGAGGTTAAGTCTGTGACCACATGCATAGTTAAGTGAATCTGAGGCAATTGTGTATACAAAAAATATTGACATAAAAAAAGGAAAACTAAGTAATGAACACCCCAAAACAAAGGGGTATATATACGAGCATGAGGGCTGAAAATAAAAATCTTAACTTTTTTGTCATCAACTTCCTTTCAAAAAAGAATAAGCATGATTTTCTTTCACATCAAAAGCTACTCTGGAGTGCAGCAAATAACAAGGGGGAGTGTGAACAGCAAATAAACTGGAAGTCATAAATTATAATTTCAAAGGCTAGGTTTAAAGTGAGAACATGTCTGATGGTAGGAAATAATACAACAAAATGTCCTTTGAATGGAATGGAGGACCTAGAAATATATGTAAGAATCAACCTATGTGATCATTACTAGATTGTGCTTAAATTATGAAAACAAATCAACTCTTCAGTCCTAGTAACAAAATTTTTAACATAAAAACTACAAAATCAAGTTAGTTTAGAAATTTTACACTTGAAAGTTTAAACTTAAAATTCAAAAGTTAATCCATTTCTAAAGTTCATAAAAATTTTATGTTTTTCTAAGTCATGCAAAAATATATTTATAGTGCCTATAAATATTGATTCTTCACAGTTTGGGATAAACTTATACTGAAAAAATACCATGTTAAATTTTTTATGATGGCAAACTTTATGTTTAACAAAATTTTACAAAAAAAAAAAAAAAAAATCCTGGAACACTGAATGAGTAAATTTACTTTGTTTCATACCCTTTGGGTAAGAGTTATATTCACAGTCTAATCAAAAACTGCTTTTCCAGCATACTCACACTGCCAGTAATGTGCACTAACTAGATGTATACTGTACTAATATGCAAAAGGCAAGGGAGATAGTGTTTTTATCATCTTTGGAAAGCACCCAGTGCATGACAAAGACTGTCATGGTCTCCCGATGGAAGATCAATGATATAAAATAAATTAAGGAAGATATATTTAGCACAATATGGAAACACACAAAAACATTTTATGACATTATTCTTTAACATGTAATTTGGTTTACAGGATGACCAAGCAAATGTAACCGATCTTTACAGTATTTTATGGATAATATATATACTGAAGCAGTAAGGTTTATATAGCTTAGCCTAAAATCTTAATATAAGTTCTTTTAAAGATGTCATATTTTTTAAATTATCTTTTAAATGATAAGGAATAACTCTCCATACCGTTTTTCCTAAGTTAAAAAAAGAAGTATGCAGGTGTGTGTGTGTGTGTGTGTGTATATATATATATTGTTAAGCGCCATCGAGTCAGTTCCGAGCCATAGAGACCCTGTATAGGGTTTTCGAGGAACAACTAATGAGCTTGAATCACCGACCTTGCAGTTCAAACTGACTTTGCAGTCCAGTGCATTAACCCACAGCGCCACACCAGGACTCTGTATATATGTAGTTAAGTGCCATCAATTTCCTTCTAACTCACAGTGACCCTGTATAGGGTTTCTGAGGAGCAGATGGTGAGTTTGAAGCGCAGACCTTGTTCAAAGCAACTCTGCAGTCCTGAATATTAACCCGCAGTGCCACACCGGGACTCCTATATACATGTGTGTGTATATATGTTTAGTGGCATTGTGGGTTAATGCGCTAGATTCCAAAGCCATTTGAACTGAAAGGTTGGTGGTTCAAGCTCACCAGCTGCTCCTTGGAAACCCTATACAGGGTTGCTATGGGTCGGAACCGACTCGACAGCACGCAACTATATATATATATAAATATATATAAATATATATACACACACACACATGTTTTCTAAATTTGGGGTAGGAGGGACAAGAAGTAACAACCAATTTTTCTAGATGTGCTACAAATATAGTTTAGGGCAACAGATCAAATCCCTCTTTCATGTTTAACGATCTTTCTTCATCACCTTCATTATTATTTAACAATATTCCTGTGAATGTTTTTCTCTCTTTGTTTTGTACAATCAGATCTTTGAAATATGTCTCAGTGCCACAGGGCACTGAGTTTTAATTTATACACGTACATAAATATACTGTACATAATAGCACAATCAAATATACCATACAGAAACCAGAAAGGATACTAATTTTTCTGAGTTGAGATGACAAAGTAGTTTCTCCAAAGGAGGGTAGTGGTTTAGGGAAGGCACACATCCCAGGAGAATTAGTTTATGTTTGGCTCTGGTTATAGCAACATTAAGACGCCGCCAATCTTTTAAGAGTTCACCAATCTGCAAGAAATACAATATTCAATTATTTAGCTTTCTGATTATATAAATTTCATTTGAATTTGTTCTGACAAAGAACACGCTTGCTTTGAACTATTTTCCTGCTGTATAAAAAACATTGGGTTGCAGAAAAGCTTCATCAACATGGTATTTGAAAAAACTCACCCATCATGCCAAGCTTCAAATATTTTATGTTCTATGTGATAACCTGGTCATAATTTTAAATTATTAAGTACACAGAATGAGGAATTGGTACTACTTGAGTTCACTGTAGCATTATTTGCAATCATAATAAACAGCTGTAATACTAAAGGCTAAGGTGAGTGGGTAAATATACCACGACACAGCCATACAATGAAAAACCACAGAACTGCACAAACAAAATGAAATCTGTGTACTGAGATGGAATGATCTCTAATGTATTCTATTAAGTGGAAAAAAAACAAGGTCCAGAACAATATGCACATATGTGAGAGCTTCAAAATACTTGTGGAAAAGTGAAATTAAAATATAATGGAATTTTTCCGCTAACTTTTGAAAACACCCTTAATATGTATGTATGTAACTTTTCATTTAAAAGGAAAGGTGGGGAGTAAACTAGTATCAATTCATATTTGCTTACTTATGCATATAGGAAACTCTAGAATGTTATTTTTAAAAAAAGAGATTATCTCTAAGGAAGTGGTAGGAATGAGTAGGAAGGAGCCATTTTACTCTATTTTGCATATCTTTTTTTAAAACACATGAATGTATTACAGTCAAGAAAAATAATCAAGGAGAGGCAAAAATGAAAAGCAAGCAAATAAAAAGCCAACTGTATCTACAATTTTTGAAATACTTAGAAAACAATGTTTAAAATATCCCACACGAATCAGTAACAAATATAATTAACTCACATTTCCACCCTTATTACTTCTAACAAAAGATACCAGGATGATACTTTTGTCTCTTCCTTGGTATCTGTCCACTGTATTAACTTCGACCATCCCAACCGAAGAATGTGCCAGTAAGTTAGTGATTATCTTTAACTGCTGCCTGTACGGTGCAATGACACCAATATCAGATGGATTACATCCAGCCTAAACAGAAAAGGACACAAATTAAAAGGAAAAATCTTGATTGTTACAGCATTTAAGCTTTACTAAATCTATTAAACTGAATGTTTATATTTATAAATATGTTTATAGCAGATGTTCCTACCTCAAGGAAAGAATTGTTGTCAAACGCTGTCTAGTTACTTCCAACTTACAGTAACCCTGTATAAGGTTTCCAAGGAGCGGCTGGTGGGTTTAAACTGCCGACCTTCTTGTTAGCAGCCCTGCGCTTAGCCTACAGAGCCACATCAGGACTCCTATCTCAATGAACAATACAATTATGAAATTTGCTCTCTGTGCCCATATTTCCTACAATTAAATAATTCCCTCAACACAGCTTCCTTAACTTTCAGAGGTTCATGAGTGCGTACTGGTTTGCATACCACTAGATGATGCTAGGACTCCTGGTGTAGCGCTGTAGGATAGGCACTAGACCGCGAGGTCTGCTTGAATTGCAAGGTAAGTGGTTCAAACCCACTAGCCGCTTATTGGAAACCCTATACAGTGTTGCTGTGAGTCGGAACCGACTGGACAGCACTTAACAATACAATGCTGCCAGACAAAACACAGTATAAAAAAATTCATTTTCTGTTATCCCTGACACAAAAAGGTTTCCAATCTCTAATCACACTGCCAACAGCACAACTGACACAATTGGAATTACCTGACATTTATAAGACGTTACCCTGACTGGGAACCCAAACACCATTTTAGAAACACTACACATCTTAGATACGTTTTTCTCAAAGTAAAGCCAATCAGGCTCCAGTTTCCTTACCCTAATAAACAACGGTTAATGCTCGAATTCAAACTCTTTATAACCATAACTTTCTGGAACTCCAGTCCCTAATACTTAGTAGTCTTCAAGACACAGCACATTCTAAATTACCTTAATAAATAGTGAGGTGAGGAAAACTATGAGTTTGGCTTCTATTATATTGCTCACACCACCTTTTTCAACTTGCTCTGGTGCTGGAACCTAAATAGAAAATGACAAGAAAGCATTTTGTTTATGTAACAGATCTCTGAAGTTAAGAGTATTACAACTGCACGGGTATTCAGAGACTGCACTACTGGGATTGGGAATAGATACTTTAAAATCTGCACCGTAAAAGCTGAAGGTATAAGACTCAACAAAAACTACTATTTCTCACTCTCAGCCCATGCAGAGGGAACCCACCTTAAACCTCTATGAAAGCTGACCACATACTGGACCCAATGCACCAAATACTTCACATCATCATCACCCAAGATACAGGAATCAAGGGCCAGAAAAGACAACTATCTTACCTAAGGGTAAGCAGGTCTTTGAAATGACACCACACTGTAACCTGTCCTTTGTTATTATACCCTAGAATTCAGTTCTGACTTTGCATGTTTAAAATTCAATGCTGGAGAACTGGATGGTGCCCACCTATCATTATTGAATATTTTATCAGATTCTATAGCAGAATCCTGAACAAAAGGGGGATAAACAGAACACAATTTCAAATCCTTATAGATTATAGACCCATGGACTCAGGAGCCATGGAGGGTAGATGAATCCCTGAAAACACTGTCCTAAGATAATCTTTAAACCTTCAACTAAAAATCTCCATTAATTTATGTCTTCTTAAAACCAAACAATAGTTTAGTTTCACTAATAAAAAATGTCTGCCTACAGTATTATGCTCTTTTAAGAACTATCTATATGGAATCAAACTGACAAAAGCAACTTGAAAGATGAGATGGGAACTTTCATGGCAGTGAGTTTATGTTAACAGGGTGAGAGCAACTCAGAAAAGGGGGTGATAATGGCTCCACAACTCAAATAATCAAGGTCCCTAAAGTATACAGGTAGAAACTCTGAATTAGTATATGTTTTACTGTGTATATTGTCAACAGCAAAATAAAATGTAAAGAAAATAAGGCATTGCTGACATCTACCAATTCCCAGAATATACGACCTCCCAAAGGAGCTCTGGTAATGTAGTGGTTACGAATCAGGCTGCTAATCTCAAGATCAGCAGTTTGAAACTACCAGCTGTTCTGCGGGAGAAAGATGAGGCTTTCTGCTCCCATAAAGATTTGCAGCCTCGGAAACCCTGTACAGGGTCGCTATGAGTTGGAACCGACTCCACAGTATTTAACAACAACAAAAAATATGTGGGGAAAGACTATTCTTGTATTGAAGTAAGAGAAGTACACTAGTATTACGTTTTTATGTATTGTGAACTGAGTGATAGTTTACATGGAAGAACAATCGCTTTACACCATAGTTTCATTGCAATGATTACAATCGCCTCTGTGTATCATCATTCAACAGTGTTTGTTTCCATTTCCTCTACTAGTACTACCTTTTAACTGGTAAGTTCTTGTGGAACAGACACTACTGCACACTAAGAAATTTAAGTTGGACGAAAGGAATAAGAAAATAAAGGGAAAAAATTAACTAAAACAACTTTACCTTGTTTGTATTAAGAAAACAAACAGGACTGTTTGGCTCAAATACTCCATTCAGCCAAGGATTTTCAGAATAATCAGCATAAAGTTCCAGCTCCAGCTTCACATTTTTTAAGTGAGGTAGATTTATCACTGCATTGGCCACTTTGTCCGATCCACACTCCAGCTTTCCCTCATATGTCAGCTTATTACTTAAGGACATAATTTTACTAAGGGAATTACAACAATAATTTTAGTTTTGGTAGATTATAAAACAAACAGGAAGCTCACTTACAACTGGCACTGTTATAAATACCTGTTCATTCTGTACTGCACAGTTAATTGTACAACAGCATTCTTATTCTGTTCCAGCCTCTTAAATAAGCTTTCACTCATGCCAAGAGCTCTGTCAACAAAAAATACAGGCTCATCAGTGTACTGACACTGTCCCTTAAAAATAATCTAATTTAAAATGAAAACTTAAAATGTCTTCTGACCTTGCTTCACGATTTAGCACCAGGGGAGGAAGTTGCTGATGATCTCCCACCAACACAAATCTCTGTGAGAAAAAAAGTGGTCCCAGGCAAACAGGCTGGCTAATTTGAGATGCTTCATCCACAATACAAAAATCAAAAATTTTGCGGGAAAAAATAGGATGATTTATTCCCATACATGTTGTTGCAACTATGAGCTGAAAACAAATTAAAAAAAAAAAAAGATCAGTTATAATATGCAAACAGAAATGTAATTTGCTTTTCTTATTTTTGACATTAAAAGATTTAAAACAAAAAAATGTTTGGACCATAGGAATCACCCAGTATTATTTGAATTCTGAAACATTGCCTGAGAAAAATTTTTAATTCTTTTTCTTTACTAAGAATTAAGGTAAACTGGTGAGTCTGATGACCAGCTGGGTAGCTCTTTCCACAGGCTCTTGTGGTTCTTGGAGGAATTTTGTGAACAGTCTGGCACAGTAACATTTGTTCCATGTCAGTAGCACTTCCAGCTCTTTGACATGGTAGAACAGAAACTTGCAGGAGCCACTGGACAGCATGTGTTTTGTTTTCTTGTTGCTCCCATAACCAGTGTTGACCATCAAGATCTGGCCCTTAAATCTTCTTTGCACGTTGTTGTCAATGTCTCTGGGCTTGCACCAATTATGCTTACTTTTGACTTAATGGTCTGATTGGTGCTGGATGAATTTGTTGGTCCTCTTTTTGACCATCTTGGGTTTCACCAGCAGTCTCAGGGCAGCCTTGATGCTGGTAGAGATGGCTCCTTCATAGGCAGCACCAAGGAAGAGGGAGGGGAAGGTGAGGCACAAGGACTGAGGGACTTCAAAGAGGTGATCTTCGTAGATTTTTCTCCAAGAACACACAGGACAGTCACAAGGGAGAAGTCTTAAGAAAACTGAAGAAAGAAAAGGAGTGGCTCTGTAAGACAAGCACTAGACTGCAAGCCTGCCAGCCGCTCCGCAGGAGAAAGGTGAGGCTTTCTGCTGCTGCAAAAATTTACAGCACTGGTATACGTAGGGGATTACAGTCATTGTAATAAAACCAGCTACATGATTTATTGAATGTAAAACTAATGATCTGCCCTGTAAGCTTTCACTCAATCCACAATAAAAACCTTTAAAAAAAAGAAGAAAATACTACAGCTAGAGTCAGGCACACCTTAGTCCTCAAACTGACAACTTTGCTCATTAACACTGTAAAGAAATTTTTGGCAGATTTGCCTGATGGAATACTCCTTTGGCTGCTGCTTCTATAAGTGTTGACTGTGGATCCAAGCAAAATGAAATCTTTGACAACTTCAATCTTTCTTCCATTTGTGATGCTATTTACAGTCTTTGATCTTCATCATCATCAGTACATATTTCAAGTTCTCTCCAGTTGGGTCATCTGTATATCGCAGGTTGTTAATGAGTTGTCCTTCAATCCTGATGCCCTGTTTTTCTTCATACAATCCAACTTCTCAGATTATATGCTCAGCATACAGATTGAAAAAATATGGTGAAAAGATTTAAAAAAATTTTTTTACAGCATCAGAAACCCTTTACAGGGTTTCTATGAGTTGGACCTGAATTGACTGCCCCTAACACTGCAAGTTAATGATCTACACTGCAAAGTCGATTTGAACCGCATGGTGGGCAGTTCTAGCTCACCAGAAATCCTACACTGGGGTCTCTATGAGTGGTCTCTATTGACAGCACTTAACAACAATAAACAACAACAACAACAGCTATCTGAAAGGTTTACAGTTGGAACTCAAGTCCAGAAAAAAAGGCCTGGCCTACAACCATGGTCCACTCAGATCAGAAGATCCTCAAAAAGAGAAGAAAAAACAGTATGATAAGTTTCAAAATAATAATGAAGACCATAATTAAATTCAAGTCAAAATCATGACAGACTGGTGGAACCCCCAAGACTGTGGCTCCTAGACACCCCTCAGTCTGTAAAAAAAAAGAAAGAAAACTGAAAACTGCATTGGCAAGAAAAAAGCCAGGAAAGCCGCACTGAGGGAACTTTTCCATCTTGACAATGCACTTACTCATTCAAGGGCGCCAAGGGCTGTCCTGTGAGAACTTCGCTGGAAAACCTAACCCCATACACCTCTGCCCTTCACACTTTTTGTTTCTTAAACTCAAAGAATATTTAAAAGGAACATAGTTTAAGTCCCTCAAGGATGCTAACACTGCTTTTTCAACACAGTGTAAATCAGAGCACAGAGAATTCTTCAGGGAAGGATTAGAGAGATGAGACACCCTCTTCAGAAGTATATCAACCTAGACAGAGGGTATGTAGAGACATCGGCTTCACATTTTGATACTGTTATTTGATAAAGGCTTCTATCATTTTGTTGGAATGCTTTTTTTTAACTTAACCTCATACTTAGCAATAAAAAGGAATGAACTATTGACATACACAACAATTGAATGAATCTCCAGAGAATTTTGCTCAGTGAAAAACACCAAGCCCAAAAGTTTATATACTTTAATCACTCCATGCATATAACATTGTTGAAATTAAAACCTTACGAAAACAGAGAGCAGGTTAGTAGTTGCTAAGGTTAAGGCGGGGCTGAGGCAGGAGTAGCACGTGTGTGTATAAAACGGCAACATGATGGCTCCGTGTGGTGGTTGCATGGAGGTCAGTTGCCCGTGTGATGTTGTACTACAGCTCTGCAAGATGTTACCATTGGGCAAAGGGTACACAGCATCTCACTTAATATTTCTTACAACTACATGTGAAAATACAATTATTGGAAAATAAAGTTCACTTTAAAATTTAAAAAAATTTTAAAGCAACTCAACATATATCTTAACCACTTCAAAATTTATCAAAAATTGCTATAGATAAGAGATAGTCAAAGTATATTAGAATTAGATAAAGGTAAAATATTGGAATTCAAGAATTAAATCCACTTTAAAAGATTTTTTTTTAAGGGAGAAAAAAAAAACACACACACACACACAAAACATCATTTAAAAGTTTGCAGTAAAAAATTACACAGGGGTTTTAAAATTTGGGGGGGAAATTGAATTAACAGATAATGAAAATTATCCACAAATTTCTTGAAGTCCCCTTGTACAGATATTAAAAAAATAAACAATAGGTTCTATACAAAATCCCAGAAATACTTATCATAATACCACTTAAGTATAATTGCTTCTGACCTAAACGTAATAAAACATTCTTAATATTAATAATATTCTAGTATATTTCAAATGAAAAAAGGGGAGCCCTGAGTAATATGCCAGAAATCTTGTTTTCATTCAGAGGCAAGAATAAACTGCAAATTAATGAAGTGGTCCGGTGCCAGATGCAAATTAATCCCACAGAAATCTGACTACTCTGACTAAGGTTCCCACAGCCTCATTCCCCTCTAATTCTGGTTGAAGGAACTACAGTTGGTATTGTACACTCACTGTACTTACTTGACTATTGTAGAGTGCTTCTAAATGAGATAAAGATGTAATGGACTCTGATCTGCAGATTTCCTCCTCTGTAAATTTCTGGATATCTGGATGAACCTTCTGAGTCTGACCCAAACGCAAAAATCCTACTTTGAACTTCGCTAACTTCAAAAGAATATTGTCAACAGCAGAGTGTGTATAGCTGGTTAACAAAACACTAAAACCACAGGCATGGAGGATTCGTACCTGGTAACAGACAAAAGAAAGAAAACAACATTACTTATCATTCTATTTCTAATGCACTTATACTTTCAAAACGAACTGGAAAATATAATATGAAGATATCTAGGAGCTAAGCCAAGTAGTGTTCATCTTTAGATCATAAAGTCAATTTTTATATTTTATATTTATATTTTTTAGAATTCCCTGGCATTATTTTACTTGCTATTAATGACATGTTGGTCCCTGGGTGACACAAATAGTTTGCACTTGGCTGATAAGCACAAGGTTGCTGGTTTCCACCCACCCAACAGCACCATGGAAGAAAAGGTCTAGCAAGCTGCTTCCATACAGAGTGCAGCCAAGGAAACCCAAAGGAGCAGTTCTACTATGTGACCCACAGGGCTGTCATCAGTACAAATTGACAATGTAAAACAACGGTAACAATATGGATATAACACATTACTGTTGTTTCAAGTGCCGGTGAGTTGGTTCTGAATCACAGCAACCCTGTATAGTGTTTCTGAGGAGCAGTTGGTAGGTTTGAACCACCAACCTTGTGGTTAGCAGTTCAGTGCTGATCCTACAGCGTTACAGCAGAAGTCCATTTTACACATACATGTACACATACATGTACATATAGATATAAATTTTGATAGTACCTGGCACACATTGATGATCAGAAAACACTTGCTGCCATCATTATGATTATACTAGGACTGTTTAGGGATATACTGACATGGGAAAAAAATCCAACCAACTCTGTATAGTTTATCATTTTTAAAGGGAAAATAAAACATGACACACACACCCACAAAGAAAAAAACAATCTTAGAAAATTTTTAATCCAACAAATCCCATGATTAAAACTATTTCTGATACAGCTTTACTATTTCTCAAGTCATTTAAAAAAGTTAATTTGAAATGAAGACATTTGGAATATCAGACTTTTTGATGTCAACATCACATCCTCTGAACCCAGGAGCCAATGTAAATACTCAGTTTCTATGCAAAAAAAGTAATAACCTTACAAGAGTACATATTGTAGTTGTCTTTCCGGTCCCGGGCATACCCACAATGAGTGTGTAGTCTTTTGAAAGAAGTACCTTTTTCATTGCTTGCCTTTGAGGTTTATTCAAACCTACATTGAAAATTAAAAATAACAGAAAAAAAGAGTGTTGGACTTTAATAAGCAAATTATCAATTTTATAAGAAAAGCAGACTCTTACAAAAGTCTGTTATTTAATACACCCTTTCTTACTCTTTCTTCACAATAAGAAAATGTTATGGTGACCTAAAAGGATATTATGTATCAACAACTTCCAAAGACTTTATCTAAATACTATAATTACAAGTCTAATAGATTATCAATGTACTTGTTAAGTGCCGTCAAATCGGTTCCAACTCATAGCTACCCTGTATAAGGTTTCCAAGGAGCAGCTGGTAGTTTTCAACCGCCAACCTTGTGGTTCATTCGGACCTTGCGGTCCAGAGCGTTAGCCTACAGTGCCACACCAGGACTCCATCAATATGCTACATCACAGGATAAGTTAAATGACAAATAGAACTGAGGAAAACTATGGAAATCAACAAGCCAGTAAGAGCAAACCTTTGAGAATGCTGGCAACTGTATCCTTTGCATCATGTGGGAGAACAGAACTGAGGTATGATATAAACTGAGGTTCACGAAAGTCAATGATTAAATCCCGAAGTTTTTTGCTACAAATAAAAAATACTTTTAGTGATAGCCTTTAGAAAAGTGGAAAGAAGTTCAAATCCATTCACTGTTACAAACCTGGCATAAGTGTTTTCCATCAATTTAGAGAGATTTGTTAGCGGGGTAACTATATCACAATTCTTTTCTTCTTGGTCTAGTCTGAGCAGAGTAGATTTTGGGAGTGCTGACAAATTCCTGAAACAGATGTACATAGTCAGTTGGACTGTAGAACAATCATGTTGCAGTTTTCTAAAAGGGTAAATGGGCCCCAACAACTACTAAGATAACCATTGCTGTTGTTAACCATACAGTTCCAACTCACAGTATCCTGTATAGGGTTTCCAGGGCTATAAATCTTCGTGGGAGCATAAAGCCTCATCTTTCTCCTGCAGAATGGCTGGTGGGCTCGAACCACCAACCTTGTGGTTCACAGTCCAGTGCATATACTACGAGCCACCATGCTCCCTTAAAAGGACTTCCAGGTTTTACTTCATTTTTGGCAATGAAAGGCAGCAAGAGGCCCTAGACTGGCTAGAAAGGAGGGAAGAGGAGGGCACAAGGAACCAAGGTGACAGCAGTTAGTAATCAGGAACTTGGCCTTGCAGTCTCACCTGGACTCACTTCCCCTGGATAAATGCTGACCACAGAGCTCCTCCCTCCAACAGCCTGGTACACAGGGGTCTTCCCTGAGGCTTTCTGCAACTCCTTTCTGTCTCTAGGGTCCCTTTCCTGGTCCACTGTACTGCTCTTTCGAGTTATTTTCCTTTGGGTCTCATGATCTCATGTGACTTTAAATACTGTATCTACATCTTCAGGCCTCACCTCACATTCCTTTAGCACCTGTCTTCTCATCCAAGCTAACAATTTGGATGTTTACCAGGTAGCAGGACTCGATTACAAGCCAGGCACTTCTCTTTGTCCTTACAGAACCTAACCCTCACTCGTGGTACTGATCTCAGTTGGTCCCTTGGTCCTAACTTCTCCCTCACCCTCTTCCCAACCTGCATAAGCAATCTGCATCCAAATGCTGGACAAGTTTATTCTTTCAATATTTTTCAAAGTCATCCCATCCTTTCTGCCGGCACCACCCTGCCCTCTACGGACTTTCAGCAACATCCTGGCTTCTCTGATTTAAGTTTTTCCTCCATTAATTCAGTGGTGTGGTGCTGTAGGGTAACGCACAAGGTCAGCGGTTCAAACCCACCAGCTGCCCCTCGGACACCCTATAAAGGGTCACGGTAAGTCAGAACCAACTTGACAGCACTTAACAAAAATACAGCAAGAGAAAAATACAAATCCAATAACTATCATTCTTTGTTTAAAGTCCTTCAAAATACTTCAACAAAATCAAAACTTTTAACATTATGACCCAACCTTTCTAATCACTACTTGACTTCTATTTTACAAAATACTGAATGACATTCACTTCCGTGAATACTCTGTGTCATGCTATGTCACTCCATTGTCCCTTTGCTCAACATATTCCCTTTATGCCCTTCTTACAGAGCGTCAGCAGGCTAACTTACTAGTCTAGACAATGAAGTCAGGGTAACTCTCAAAACGGTTTCCCTGAGCCACTGAAAGTTGGGTTAAACACCACTTTTCTGTGTTCTCATCAACTCAAGTACTTATCATGGTGGGGGTGGTGTACCATGGAGTTACTTCCGACTCATAGCGACCCTGCATAGGGTTTCTAAGACTATAAATCTTTACAGGAGCAGAAAGCCTCATCATTCTCCCATGGAACAGCTGGTAGTTTCGAACTGCTGACCTTGAGGTTGGCAACCCAACTCGTAACCATTGTGCTACCACAGCTCTTCAAGTACTCACCATAGTAGAGAGAAAATATGTGTGAGTTTTTGCCCACAAAACTATAAACTCTTCCTCAAAGGCTTACATAGTACCTAATACATGGTGTCCTCATAAAGCACTGTAGGATAAGCACTGGACCACAGGGTCAGTTTGAACCACAGTGTTAGCAGTTCAAATCCACCAGTCGTTCCTCACATACCCTAGAGTTCCTAAGAGTTGGAACTGACTCTGTAGTACTTTAACAATAACAATACATGGTAGGCACTAAATAAACACTGCAGGGGGCTGTAGTGAATTCCAGTAGATATCAGGAAGATTGTGGCTCATACTCCTAATATATGAAACCAAGACAAGGGTTGGTTATGGTCCAACTAGCATTTCCTGGCCAGTATGTGAACAAGCCTGGACATCTCACTGATGGTTACCCAGACGTCACAAAGTTCCAATGGCTGATCTCCAGCCTTTAAGAAACGGTCAGCCCCACTGAATAGTTTTCATCTTGTATAGACGGGTCTGGTGAAAGAAGATGGGGATAAGATTCTTATGATTCAATAGTGAGTAACTGTTATTTTGACTAATTGAGATTATCACAACTGTAAAGGTAGAAGATGTGTAACAAAAAGTGGGGAGTAGTTACTATTATATTCCAGGAACAGAGGACCCTAAGACCATCAGGAGGGAAGAGCATGAGCAGAACATGGGATCCTAACCAGAGAAGCAGCAACTACAGAGATGGAGGCAAAGGTGACGTCATGGAGAGATAGAGCCGCTGAGGACTCTAGACTCATAAAAAGAAAAACACTGTGTGCTGGTGGGCAGGAGGCAGGTTTGTAAAAAAGTGCCCTTTGGTTGTTTAAATGATTAGATAATTATATATTCCTACATGATTTTATGTATATCAAAAAAAAAAAAGAGGGAATAGAGGCCAATACTGTTAACCAATGGTACAAGGAGAGGATTGTAATCATTGCAATTAAACAAAATACAATTGGTTGAGTGCAAAACCGATGTCCTCCCATGTAAACTATCAGACAATTCACAATAAAAACTTAAAAAAAAAAAAAAGAACGTTCACAGCAACAGTATTCCTAACACCCAAAAAGTGGAAACTACCCAAATGTCCATGTGCTGATGAGCGGATAAACAAATGTGGTATACCCATGTTGTTGTTAAGTGCTGTCAAGTTGATTCCAACCCACAGCGACCATGTACAGTGTTTCCAAGGAGCAACTGGTGAGCTTGAACCACCAACCATGCAGTTCAAATGACTTTGCAGTCTGACGCATTAGCCCACAGCGCCACACCAGGACTCCTAGTGGAGAACAAATGTGGTATACTCATAGTAGATAAACAAATGGGGTATACCCAAAGTGGGTAAACAAATGGGATACACCCACGGAATGGAATAGTATTCAGCAGTGAAAACGAACAAGTACTGATGCAGGCTACCGCTTGCATGAACCTTGAAAACATTACGCTGAGTGAAAACAGCCAGACACAAAAGGCTGCATCCTATATTATTCCATATGTATGAAATATCTAGAATAAGTAACATCAGAGACAGAAGGAGATGAGTGGTTGCCTAGCCTTGGTGAACCTGAAGGCGACATGGGGAAGGGGAGGTAGGAGGACACAGCTGCTACAGCACACAGGACTTCTGTCAGGGTGATGAGAATTGATAGTTGTGACGGTTACACAACTTTGTGAATATACTAAAAACCACTGAGTTATACACTTCAAATGGATCAAATGTACGTGAGTTCATTTCAACAATAAAGCTTTTACCAAAATAGCAGAGCATGTTTTATTACCTGTCTAGTAAGCAGGTTACTGTTGCCACATCAATCTTCTTCACATATCCCCTAGACAAAGCAAAGAGTGCTCTCTCTTCTCCACTTAAAATAATCCTGTCACCTGCCATTAGATTTGTGACAGGCACAGCACCAGTTTTCCGTCGAAAATGATGTAAATATAGGCCTTCACAAACTGTTATTACATTTTCTGTTCTAATCAGGTCTCCAATGCAGTTGCCCCTTTCCTCCCTGTAAAAGAGAAACAGAACGTTTTTCTTTTTTCTTTATCTTTTACTTTTTTTTTCTTTAGGTTTTTATTGAGGATTGAGTGTAAGTTTACAGGGCAGATCATCAGTTTTACATTCAACAAAGCATACAACTTGTTTCATCACAATGATTACATTTCCCTCCATGTACCATCAGTTAACAGTATTTCCTCTCTTTAAAAAAAACACACACATACACACACTCAGGCACATATAAAAATTTACACCATCAAAGGGCCCATTCTGCAAGTCTGCCTACTGGCCACCAGCTCTTAGGCCCTCTCTTCCCATAAATCTAAATTCCTCAGCTGCTCCCTGTCTCCATACCCCATCTCTGCCTCTATCTCTGGTGTCGCTGCTTCTCTGGAGAAGGTTCCACATTCTGCTTGTGCTCTTCTCCCTTGATGGGCCTAAGTCCTTTGTTTCTGGACTGTAAGATTAACTGCTCCCCCACTTTTGTTCAAAACTTCTACCTTTACAGTAGTGACAGTCACAATTAGTCACGATAACAATTACTCACTATTGAATCATAGGAATCTTATCCTCATCTTTTAATCAAACCCATCTAGACAAGATGACAACTATTCAGTGGGGACTCTTTCTTCTTCTATACACTCTTAAACTAAACTCCCTCTTGAAACCTTGTAAGCAAGTCACTTTGTGCCTTTATCACCCCTCATTTTAGGTAGGCAATGTCTAAGTTGCCCGTCCCTAACTACCCTGTGTACAGTATGGATAGCATTGATATTTGATGTGAAGACTCCTTCCCTCTCTGTTGGTATTTAGAGTAACTACCTCCACGAGTATAGGTCAGGCTCATCAAATTGTAGCAATTTACTCTCATTTCCTTTATCAAAAATTGTTTTGTTTTTCTTTTTCATCATACTCTAGTCAAGTTCTGATGATCAAGCCATCGAGGCTAGGTCAAATGGGTACAATCTGCAAGTTTGGGTGTTTTGAATGTCTGGAAAAGAAGTTTTTATTTTCCTGTTTTTGAAAGATGTTTTGTGTCTAGAATTCTGGGATCATGGGTTTTTCCTTCAGTTTTTTTTAATGTTTTATTGTGAATTATGTGATCGTTTACATGGGAGAACATTAGCTTTAGATTCATCCAATCCTATATTATTTCACTGCCATGGTTACAATCCCCTCCATGCATCATCAACCAACCAAAGGGTATACCCTACAAGCCTGCCCCTGGGTCATTAGCACACAGTCCCTCTCCCTCTCTGTGTCTAAAGGCCCCAGCCACTCCACCTCTCTACAACATCATCTCTGCCTCCATCTCTGGCATCACTGCTTCTCTGGGTAGGGT